CTATTTCACAGGTCCTGGATGGTGGCTGCTTGGAACCCTCCATTCACCAATGGAACAATATGGTGTTTATATGACTATATTTCTGGCTGTACAGTTTACCAAGAGAAGAAAAGGGTTGACACCACTCCTGTCACACAATCCCACACCCTGCAGAGATGCTCACCTTATTTCTTGCTGTCTTGCATGTTCTTGTTGCACTAGGCACTGGCTAGAAATACCAACATGGTACCAAGAAAAGAAGCCGCCAGAGCTGAAGCAGAGCTGGGATCCCCACCAGTTTTCTTGTCTTGATGTCCTGTAGGCCACCAAGAAAACTTTAGTGACTGTACTCCACAGGCTCTCCCTCACTTTGCATCCCACCCCCTGTGGTGAATGGCTGTCCCATTTTCTCACCAAGGAAAACAGGGGCATCAATGGTTCTGTTGCAGTGCCTCAGGCAGCAGGTGAACTCTGGCTCCTGTCCAGGAAGAACCCAAATAGACACCCAGGTCTGGTAGGTCCCGTCACCACTGGGCAGAATGGTCCCAGACCCAAAGGTCTGCTGCTGTACTGGCTTCCCACCCTGAAGCCAGACCAGGATGGCCACAGGAGGATACAGATTAAAAGCACAGCATGTCAGGCTGATACTATCCTCTGAGTATTTCCTGCTGGTCACTTTCACCTCCGGGGGACATGAGACAAGATAAATTGAGTTAGTGAGGGTGATACCTCTCTATCTCAGCATGGAGTGTCTCCCAGAAGTACCCCCTAGTTCATATTCACCTGTACCCTCACCTCCTTAGAGGACCATTGGAGGCTGAGGCTCAGCTCCAATGATGTTCATTAGGGTCCATCCTTCTCTTACACTCTGATGATGAGAGGGCATGGTTTCCCTGCTGTCAGAATCAAGAATTTCCTTTTTCTAACACAGGGCTTAAATAAATAGGCACTGGGTAGCCAGGGCCTCAGTGTTAAGGGGCCTACAGTTCCACCCTTGGTGGGATATACCTCTTTTATATCACAAAGTCAGCTCCCCAATCTCTAGTGCACAAAGGAGGGATTCTCTAAGTACAGTCAGCTGACTGTTGCCCCCATTCTTCGGTTCTGGAGTTGGCCCAACTGGTGATCAATGTCTTCTTCCTGTCTGCTTCCTCCACAGATGTCCCAGGACACCCTACTATTTTCTCTCAAGACTTAGCCAAAGCTTGAATCCTCAAATTTCTGGTACCAGAGGGGGTGATACATATCATTATCATGACACCAGGAAGGTAGAGGCAGGCGGTAGTTGATTAGGGGCAATGGAGTTACAATTATTTTAAGCCACCATGTTACCTTTCCAAAAGTAAGAGCTAAGCAACAGTGAAAGATTAAGCCAGCATGTTACCTTTCCAAAAGTAAGAGCTAAGCAACAGAGAAAGGGCCTTGATCTGGTCATAGGATGTGGGAAGGCTGTATTAGAATCTGGAGCACAGATATGGGTTCAAATCCTCTTTTCCTATTTTAACTCCCCATAAGGGGTGGCTCTGAACCCACCCAAGGCCATCTAGTTCTCTCCCCTCCTCCATGTCAACCTCCCCACCAGAGAAGGGGGTTATTGGAAAGAGGAGGCCTGCTTCTTCTGCATGTGAGGGCCTTTTGTGAGATCCAGGCAACATGTGGGAAACCCTCCTTTCCCATCTGAGGGACCCAACTATGACTCTGGAGGAAACCCTGCACCTCAAACTTCCAGACACCACCTTAGACTATGCCACAATTGTATACACCACTGAGAACCCAAACTCCCACAGGTAGCATGGAACAGAGCCACTTGGCCACAAGAATGTTCCCCTGTGTCCTGAGAAATAACCCTGGTGATGGTCAGTACCTGTATCCAGCAGAAAGTTCTTTGAGGAAGCCAGGTGTTTCTGGAGCTGAGCAGGACATGTGCCCTCCAAGAAAGTCTTAACTTGAGCAGCTTTGGATGCATATATCTCCCGGAAGTTCTTGGTCTTCTTGGTGGAGGGCACAGCCATTGTCCACTCAAGAGTCTTCTGATCAAATGTGATGGAGTCCTGCCCATCATAGCCCAAGTGCCAGAAGCCTCTAGTGCTCCCGTTCCTATGAAGCTCACAGCCAAAGGTCACCTGGATGGTGTGAAGGCCTGCTCCACAACAGGTAGGGACCTGTCACCCTCTTGTCCCTGGACCTTAGCTCCCAGTGTGTTTCAGGGCATTTAGGGTGCTTCCTGTGATCCACCAAAGAGTGGGGCTCTTCCTCTACTTCTTAGGAAAGGACCGGTGATTTGTTCAATGAGCCTAGCCACACTCTACCCACACCCTGACTTCAGGAACCAGGGCTGAATCTGTATGAAATGAACTCAGCCCACTTACCCCTGTCTTGGCTTCTCTCTCTTGTGACCTCAGCCAGCATCGCTCTGAGTTGCTCCTTCCACAGGCCCTCAGTCTCTCTTGCCTGGGTCTCATCTACCGCATGTCCCTTGAACCTGGGCGTCAAAGCCTCTGCTGTCCTGTTGTCCCCCTTGTAGCGCAGGAAGGGCTTATCATCAAAGTACCCAAGAGCCAGGATCTTGTCTGGCACGTCCAGAGAAATGGTCGTGAGGTCAAAGCGAAGAGTGTGGGATCCTGGGGAGACAAGTTCATGGGTTCCCACAGTCAGGTGCCTTGAGAGATTGAAACCAGGCTATTCTTTGCCTCAGTGTCTCATAGGTGGATATGAAGAGCATGAGCTGTGCTCCAAATTTAATAAACGAAAATGTAGCAAAATAGTTAATTAGGTTAACCAGAACAAAAAAAAGAAAATAGAAAATCATTGAACTAAAAGAAGAATTATGAAAAAATTGTCAAGATTTCTCAAGTATTTAAGGAATTAAACACCACCTGAAGGCTGGTGAGACAGCTTAGTGGTTAAGAACACTGATTATTCTAGAAGAGAAATGGTATTTGATTCCCAGCACACATGGGGTGGCTCACAACCTCCTATAACTCTTTAAATGTTCAGGCATTTTGCTGGCCTTCCCGTTACCTGGCAGAATCCACTCAGGCAGTACCCTGGTCAGGCCAGGGATCCATGGGAAGTAAGTCTGTATGCAGGTGTAAGGGCCCCTTTAAAAGACAGACTCCTTTCCCTCTTATGTTCTCTTCTCCTCTTCTCCCACTCACGCCCTCTTCTGCCTTCCTCTCTCTCTTATCTCTCTTCCTGTCTCTCCCCCCACTCTCTTCCTCCCCCACCTGGAATAAACTATCTTATGCACTTTTTTAATATTTTTTAAACTTTTACAAAATAACATTTGGCACCAAACAAAACTGGGGATAGGCTCTCTCTGTAACCTCTCCCACCAGGGGCCTGGGGACTTGTGGGGATCCTAGATGACCCACTCTCCAGCTCTTGTTTTTTTCCTGGCATTTCCTCCTGCCTGTGGCAGCCTCAGATGCCAGAACCCTGTAAAGTTCAACTAGCTGCTTTTCAAACTAAGGATCCCTGGAACCCACTCATCTGCCTGTTGGCTGCAATCCAGTAGGACAACCCTTCTGGTTGGGTGCATTTCCCAAGGGTTAAGTCCAGCACCCTGCTCCTGGAGGGGTGCATTTTGTGTTAAGCATCCTTTTCATTGCCTTTTTAGAACACTGGGTTCCTCTTTCTCGGTATTGCTACTGCTGAGTCCCCATCAGACTCAGGTGACATTCAGGCATGGCCTTGGCACCGCTCCAGGGCTGACAAGCTTCCAGAGAGTGGGTTTTGCCATTTTGTTTGCTTCACCCATGGGAAATACATACGGGACATTTTTGGCTGTGGCCAAACAGATGGGTAAACACACAAAAAGCCTCTTATGGCTGTTGCCATCCTGGCCATGTGGGCTAGCCCGAGGGCCACCATCTTGACCATGTGACCTAGCTGTAGGCACGCCCACTCAGTTCAGTGGCTTACACCAACAAACACTGCTGCCAGATCTTTTTTGCTTTTTTTTGTCTCTGATTTCTTCTTTCACTGTCCCTGTTGAGCATGGCTTGTTTACAGGATCTGTACATTTCCAGGGACCCGGGTTGTCATTAATATTTCTGCTCTGTCTCATTAAATCTCCTGATGTGTCTGCTTGTCTCTGTACATGTGATTTAAATTATCTTTATATTTAAAAATGCAAGTTATGAAGGCCTGAGAATGGAAGATACAAAGGTCTGAGAATGGAAGATTTACGATGGTAATGTAAGGTGTATGAATTAAAGTTATGAAGGTCTGAGGATAAAAAGGCTTACGTGATGACAGATACAGTGAGTTGAGACATTAAAAAATGACGAAATATGTTCCAGATTACTCTCTTTCTCATGCTACTGTTCATAATCAATAAAGTTCTACAATGCCACTATACAATCATAACTACAAGGTCAAGATTAAGGTGCTTTTCATTGTCCTAAAAATATCTGTCAATTTTAAAATGTTAATGCTTTCAGCCAAGTCACATCTAACATAAACATGCTGCTAATGTGTCTAATATTTATGTTTCCACAAACTCTAAGGATTCTTGTAAGTTCCAGGGAGCCGAATTGGATCCAAACAAACAGGTCAGATTCACTTCAAATAAATATTATTCAACCTTTCCCTGGTCTTGGACTCCCTTCCCTCATCTTGAGATCTCTGGGGAACCTCTCCTTCATCTTACAATCTTCCCCTCAAATACCAGGACCTAAGGAAAAAAAATTCTAAATTTAAACTAGTCGTCTGTTCTGCCAATATCTTGCCAAGTCTAAAGAGGCTCCACAGAGTTCCATACAGCCTAGACTGCAATGGAGCAACCAATTACCCCAAGAATCCCAGGATGTGGCAGCACCCCAGCTTTCTCAGGTCCCCCAAAGATGGTCAATGCCCACTAGGTCAGCAGGAAGTCATCTTAAGAACTCTCTGTCCTTATTCCATAACCTGCCACATCTAACAGCCCACCTTTTTAAAATAAGTAAAGGTGGGAATGAAAGGTTCAGGCATTATGCTGATCTGCCCCTGTTACCTGGAAGAATCCATTCAGGCAGTATCCTTGGGAGGGGTGGAGTTCCAGCTCTGGAAAACCATTGGCCATCCTACCCCACCAAGTTCTAGGAGTCTGTGATTATACTACTATGCTAGAAGAGTCAAGGACAGTTCCTCCTCAAGTCACAGTGACCTTTAGACATTAAAGATCCTCCAGATGGCTACTAGATATGCATCTTTCCAGGGACCCAACTAGATAATACATACATTTACACACAGAGAAACAGACACATAGACATGTATACATAGACACACACAAAGACCCCTACACACAGAGACACACACCCAGCACACACACACACACACACACACACACACACACACACACACACACACACACACACAAACAATGTTTCACACAAAACTCAGACAAAACACACATAGAAACACCTAGGCACACACACCAAGACAGACACACACTCACACAGAAACACATGCACAGAAATACACACACACAATAACATAGAAACACATGCACAGAAATACACGCATACACGCATACACACTAATATAGAAATACGTGCACAGAAATTGACAAACATGTACGTACACAGAGAGAGAGAGAAACACACAAACACACACACACACACACAGAGACACAGAAACACATACACATTATGCAGAGCCACACAACATGCATACACAGACACAGAGTCACACAGGCACACAGCCCCCCCCACATACACATACACACCACACAGACACACGAAATACACACCACAGATATAGACACACAGAGACACATATATAGAGAGGCACACTTCCACACCACACAGACGCACACACACACACACACACACACACACACACACACA